GCGCGGTAGTGGTCCTTGCTGTAGGGCCAACTCTGGCGTCGGTTCTCTTCCAGCCTGGGCGTGACCAATGAGCCGCAGCACCAGACCGAAGCCGGCAGGAGTTAGGAAGCCTCGGTTTTCCTTGTCTGCGATCTGCCATATCTATCGTATGTGTCGTTAGCCACTTGCGCTGGATTCGGGCAGTAGCGAGCAGCAAGTATCAATCGGCCCTCACCTCTCCCAATATTCTCGAATCGAGTCTTGTCTTCTCGAAGAACTTCACTGCCGTCTCTCCGGTGACAACACCGACGCTGTCCGAGTCAGCCTGGCGAAAGAGTTGACCGTACAGGCGCTTCTCTTCGGCGTTGAGGTTTAAATTCGGCACAGCTGTGAGACAATTGTCGTCAGCATCTAGCTATCACTCATTGCCGCGCGACGCGCTGTCACCATCGAAAGAGTCCACTTACCCGCATCGACGCCGTCAGCAGACATGATGGCGGCGTGAAACTCCTGCCTCGGGGTGGTACTAGCAATCAAGACGGGCTGTTTCCAAGTGTATCTAGAGGTGATGGAAGTTGTTCGTTGGTTCGATACGGCGGCCTCCGGGGGGCTGGGGTGAAAGAAGCGTAAGTCTGACGATCGGGAAACTGCAGGTTAGATTTCACGGCAAGTAAAGTGTTGCTATTGAAATGGATGGACGGCAGGATCATACCTTGTACACAGATGATGGCCCGGACAGCCCTTTAGTCCCAAAGGATCAGCCTTGGAAGGAGAGGAGGTGGCTTGTGTTGATGCTGTTCGTGGACTGTGGACTGTGGACCGTGGACTGGCCGGGGGTTTAGGTTGGTTCAAAGGTCGTCGGGCTGGTAACTGGCAGGCCGAGCCACCTGCCTTGCCTAAGTACCTACCTTACGGATACACAAACAAGTACGTACCCAGGCGTATTCAGTCACCTGTGTGAAGGTGTAATGAGCACACACATATGCCCCATAATAAAGCTCGGGCACTCCACGTCCTGTTGCAGCTCTGAGTCCAGTGGAAGGTAGGTAAGGTAGGTGGCTGTGAGACACCTACACTGGACACAGAAGCACCTAAGGTACCTACACTGAGATACCTACACCCGAGGTTGCTTGAACATCCGAAAGGCCCGCTCCGCTCTATCAGTTTCATTTCATTGAACTGGCGAATACATCCATCAGTTAAAATAGTGAAATCTGGCTGGAAGAGACTCACTCTGCAGACCTTGCAGTGTGCAGCTTTGTCTTTGAATATATATGCACAGTGGCACAACACACGCATGCACAATGCAGATCCGCGAAAGAAAGGATGCTGACCGAGACCAGATGTCACGTAGCCTGAGGAGCACAATTGATTTATCCTCGGTAGCATTAAAGTTGGCTATTCTTTTTCTCACTGTAACAACTGAAGTAAACACGCCACTGGCTCAACGGACTGATCAAGTGCAAAGACCCAGGGCAACAGAGCCTGCACCCTGAGAAGAATGGAGGGCGACTTCTTCCGCATCCAAACGCCGAGATATACACATCTTAATACTCTGCCTCAAGGCCCTCCTCACCTTCAAGAGAGTCGGCCGCAACCTCCTCATAATCACGCTCGAGAGCAGCAAGATCCTCACGAGCCTCAGAGAACTCGCCCTCCTCCATACCTTCACCAACGTACCAGTGGACGAAGGCACGCTTGGAGTACATGAGATCGAACTTGGTCGACAGGGCGGACCAGGCCTCCGCAATCGCAGTTGTGTTGGAGAGCATGCAGCTATTCGCATTATCAGTAGACTGTTATGGCGCTAGGCATGGAGGGATGAGGATGTGACTTACACAGCGCGGCTGACCTTGGCAAGATCACCGTTGGGCACCATCTGAGGAGCCTGGTAGCAGATACCAAGCTTGAAACCAGTGGGGCACCAATCAACGAACTGGATGGTACGCTTGGTCTTGAGAGTAGCGACAGCTGCGTGGGCATCGTTGGGGACGACATCTCCACGGTACAGCAAGCAAGTTGCCATGTACTTGCCGTGACGGGGGTCGCACTTGACCATCTGGTTGTTGGGCTCGAAGCAAGACATGGTCATCTCCTGGACAGAGTTGGCCTCGTGGGCGGCCTTGGCTGCAGAGATCATGGGCGCATAAGCGACCAAAGGGAAGTGGATGCGAGGGTAAGGCACAAGGTTGGTCTGGAACTCGTTCAAGTCGACGTTCAGGGAGCCATCGAAACGGAGGGAAGCGGTAATGGACGAGACAACTAAGTAAAAGTCAGATGCAAGCTCGCATATTGCACGATCGTATCGGAAGGCTTACCCTGGGCAATCAAGCGGTTGAGGTTCTCGTAGTTGGGGCGCTCAAGACCCAGGTTGCGACGGCAAATGTCGTAGATGGCCTCGTTGTCGACCATGAAGGAGCAGTCGGAGTGCTCGAGGGTGGTGTGGGTGGTGAGGATGGAGTTGTAAGGCTCGACGACAGAGGTGGCGGTCTGCGGGGCGGGGTAGACACAGAACTCGAGCTTGCTCTTCTTGCCGTAGTCGACGGAAAGACGCTCCATCAGGAGTGCGCCGAAACCAGAGCCAGTACCACCACCGAAGGAGTGGAAGACGAGGAAGCCCTGCAGGCCAACGCAGTTGTCGGCGACGCGGCGGACCTTGTCGAGAACCTGATCGATAAGCTCCTTGCCAACGGTGTAATGACCGCGAGCGTAGTTGTTAGAGGCATCCTCCTTGCCGGTGATCATGTGCTCGGGGTGGAAGAGGCCGCGGTAGGGCCCGGTGCGGACCTCGTCGACGACGTTGGGCTCAAGATCGCAGTAGATGGCGCGGGGGACATACTTTCCCTGGCCTAGAAGATTTGGTCAGCACTCACAGCGGAGGCGAGAATACTTCAGGATGAAGCATACCAGTCTCGGAGAAGAAGGTGCTGAAGCCATGGTCGGGATCGGCCTGCTTACGCTCCTCGGTCAAGTATCCATCGGGCTGGAAAGGGCATCGGGTTAGCATCCTGTGGACTGGATAGGAGCGGTGGGTTGCCAACGTACCTGGATACCGTGCTCGAGACAGTAGAGCTGCAGAAGGAATCAAGGTCAGCCATCAGACGCATGAAGAAGCAGGTCATCATCAAGTATGGCCACTGATTGGGCCAGCAGAGCTTCGTACCGCGAGTTGACTCGGCGGCACGGCGGAACGGAATCAGCACAAGTCCAGACGTACCTCCCAGCAGGAGTTGGCAATCTGGCAACCAGCCTGACCGACTATAGATAGACAAGTCAGCAACCGTGTGTTTTCAATTAGCAAAATAAGGATGTTCGTGACAGGAGATATCAGCGACCGAAAAGCAGCTTGCGAAGGAAACGGGATCGAGGATGCGGTGAAGACAACCGACGCGTGGGGTCAGGGGAGATCAAAACAAAAAAAAAAAAAAACAGGCGGCAACTTACCGTTGATGCTAATGACCTCACGCATGATTGCGGCGACGAGAGGAAAATGAGACAAGCGACTGAGAGTAGAGGTAGGGAGCAGGATCAGGAGCGTCGGGAGTGTCGAGCAAGCAAAAAACAAAAAAAGTTGTTTTTGCAGCTATCGCGAGAGGATGTCGACAGGAGGTTGAAAAGGTTAGGTTAGGCCTGGCAAGTACAAGGGAAAGAATAATAGGTTGTGCTAGGTGCCGGGCTCGTGCTCCTCGTTTTTGGTGGTGCTGCTGGAGTCCTCGACTGGGTTCCTCAGGTGGTCAAAGTCGGGGTGGGGTGGGATGGGAAATTTGGTGCGCAACAGGGGCCGTGCTACAGTTTTTGTTGATATGAGCCTCCCCGAATTGGTAAGCGCGCCTGTCCACGTCTCTCTCAGACAACCGTCCAAAGGACGACTGGCCAATGGCCGCATCGAGTCGCGGTCGTCCCGGGGCGTGGGGCCTTGCCTATTGGCCCCATGGTGGAGATCTTCTGGCAGGTACAGGCCAGTCAGTGATTGGTTTGACAGGTGAGCAAGGACCCTGGGCCGAAGCCCAGTACACCGCACTTCGCTGGGAAAGGCGACCGCCGGTGACAATTCCTCTCCATTGTTTTCAACCTTCAGCTGCCTGAGGTAGCTTGACTGTGCACAGCTGCCTCGTCTTAGGTGAAGTGCTTTATAAAAAAAAACACACAAGTGGTTTAACGCGTTCCAGATTGCTTACCAGAGAACTACCTAGGTAAGTATCTTACCTTCCTTATCATAGTAGGGCAGGTACCTAGCTAGGTAAGGTAGGTAGGTACCTATCTGAGGTGTATAGGTAGGAGCGAGCTGCGCTGTATACCTAGGTAGAAGCAGAAGCAGCAGTTGTGCGAGCATAAAGGTAACAGGCGGGACGAGAGAGAGAGAGAGGACACGAAGGGCATGCACATACCTACGGAGAGAGAGAAACCCGTCGAAGATCCCCAGAGCCGAGGGATCAGCCATTCGGGCTTGCAAGATGAGGCACGCTGCACTCACTTCTGATATCAAATAAAGGCAGAGCATGGGCACGGACACAGACGATGGAACCGCCAAATTGCGCTTTTTCTTGCCTGCCTACTTACAACCTTTGGTAGGAAAGCTGCCTTAGATCGCAATACCATCATTTCATTCTGACGAGTCTGTCCCGGACGCCATTTCAGGCGCTCTCCCAGCTCGAAGTAGATCACGGGGCGCCGCAATAGACGTAGGTATCTTGCATCCATCAGTGTGAGGTACATGTCTGCACCGCGGTCGGCACACGGAACGGACAGTGGAAACGGACCCATCTGAGAACCGTCGCGGCGGCGGGGACAACAACCATCTTTCGTCACCTCCATGCATCCTTGTCTCCAACACCACATCGAATAGGTTCGAAGGACAGACTTGCTGTTTACCATCGAACAAGATATATGCCACCTCTCTCCCTGATTTCTGTACCACGGGAATATTCCGACCGCAATCTGCTTCACCTCAGACCTCAGCCCCCCCTTGGGCTCTGTGCCGCGCTTGTCACATGCGCCTCTCCCTACAGCATGGCCTTTCCATGGCCATTTTTTCCAACTTCGCTGGTGCGAATACCGAGAAGGTCATTTTCCAAGCGCCAGAGACTATCAATGTTCCGAATACATCGCCCAACCTCGGCGACCTCCGTCTAGACATGCTTACACCAGACCACTGGTCCAAGAGAATTGATCTGCCAGCTTCTTTCCCGGCCCCTGCGTCTCCCTTTGGGAGCCCAACCTGGTTGCTACTCAAGAACCTCACACAAGACCAGCGGTATGAGCTGAGAGTGTGCTGGGCGGCTACTGTAAGATGCTTCACACTCTGTTCATCATCGTCTCACCATTGACGACCAAGTAGCAACCTACAGCTTTCACCCTCGATGTGTTTGAGCTGCCCGTTGTTTGGGATACCCCCGAGCTCATCTCTTCCCTTGCGAAATATGCCTCCTCTCGCATCGCAAACCGTGAGGCGGATAGCTCTTCGGCCTTGTACTCAACGCTCATGGAGCAAGAAACTTCCCTTTTTTTCCTCAGGATCTTGGCTGTGGCGGATTACTACACCGACAACGCCACGCTCATGGCCAATGTTGAACACGTTCGCGCCGACCTCATACTCGATCCATTTCTACTGAATGCTTTGCCGAGGTCACTACTTCCGACCGTCTTCTACATCAAGGGGGTGTCCATCATGGCCTGGCTTCTATCTAGGGTCATTCTGATTTGGATTCAGCCAGTACTTGCCGCTGAGGGCAAGCCTGAGAGGAAGAAAAACATTTAAGCACGAGACTACCGCATCTATCGCCCTCTCCATGCATTCGTGTCTTGCTCAAAATGAAGGGAGTTCTAACGACAAACATCGACTGCCTACAAATCGGGACCGCACCAGTTTGCGTCACGGCCTCCAGACTTCTCCTCGCTCTCGTCTCGACATAGTTAGCCTCCTGGAGCGAGACGGTACAATTTATGGCTGGCTTCTGTTTCTGGCCTGTCCAGCAAACCTCCTAGCCTGACGAACTAGTGGAGCGAATAGCAAGAAGCGCCTTCCTGGACGTGAAAGGCACAAAATGCAGCCCCATGCCATGTCACACTCCTGTCTGGCCATGAAACAGTCTATTCCTCATGGCACTCAGTAGTGGGTGTTGTAGCCACCCTGCTGAGAAGAATTGCCAGCATACGAGGGTTGGCTGGGGTAGCCACCGGGCTGGGAGCCTTGAGGGGTCCCACCACCGTAGGTTGCCGGGTTGTATCCGCTATACTGCTGTTGCTGTTGTTGGTTAGACTGAGCGGCGTAACTGTGCTGCTGGCCATATGATGAAGGGGGTCCGCCAGAAGGCGGAGGAGGGTACTGGTTATGAGATTGCTGAGGCGGCGCCCCATAGGCGGTGTTGTGATGCGTCTGGCCCTGGTTCGGCGTGGAGTACTGGTTAGGCGGTGGAGGAAATGACTGGTTGTGATTCTGGGCTTGAGTCGGCGGCGGAGGATACGACTGTTGGTTGTGACCCTGGTTGGAAGCGGGCGAGTGGTAGGAAGAGGCACCTGCCGGTGGGGATGAGTGCTGGGTATGCGTCGAGCCCGACGGCTGGTAAGAGGTAGGAGGAGCCTGGCCAGAGTAACCGCCGCCGCCGCCAGAAGCGCTGTTGGAGTATCCGTAATCGTTGCTCTAGAAGGACAATCAGTAGTGTCACATGGGCGTCTGCGCGTGCTCTAGAACCTACGCCGTGAGCTGGCTTATTACCGCCAAACATATTGGCGACACCGCCCATGAGAGAACCTGCGAGACCTCCATGCTGCTGCTGGTGTCCCGTAGACTGGCTGCCGTGGTAGTTTTGCTGCTGTCCCTGATGGCCTTGTTGCCCCTGTTGCTGCTGCTGCTGCTGCTGTTGCGGTTTGTTGAGGAAACTGGAAGCCAGTGCACCTCCGAGTTTGCCCAGAGAGCTCTTTCCCCCACTACTAGTGTTGGCGTTGTTATTTCCATGGCCTCCAATCCCACTGATTAGCTGACTTGCAAGCCCACCGAGAGGACTTGAAGAATTCCCATGGGAGCCTGATGAGTTGCTATGGCTGGAGTTCTTGCCAAGCAGCGCGTTCATAGCCATGCTCTGTAGACAGACGGCAGGTCAGCATCATGTAGGCAGAGAAACGTAGCAACAAAGAAGACGCAAGGAGGCGAGCATAAGATCTTGAAGACGATAAGGACGACGGGCAGACGTACACCTAGGCCACGGTCGCCCGTCGGACCATCAAGACCTCTCGTGTTTGTATTGTCGGGCGGCATGGGAGGGTTGACGGGCTCCAGGGTGCCATCGGCGTGTCGCACGGTCTGGCTACCGTCGGGATGGGTGATGAGTTCGGGCTGAGGAACGCCGTACGGATGATCAGAGGGTTGGGCAGGAGTTGCGCCTGTGGGAGCGGCGTCGGTCGGAACCTCCCATTGCGAGACACCGGTGGAAAGCTGCACGAAGTAGTACTTCTTGCTTGAGCCATCCCACTGGGCGATCCAGCCAGCAGGGAGATGGGGCGGGGCAAACGTGGGGCCTTCGGTGCCCGGCGAGGTCGGACCTGCCATCAGAGAGGAAAACGGCGTCGTCTGGTCGTAGGCGAACGGAGGATAATAGTATTCGGTGAGGCGGCGAGGATGGAGTGTGGAGGTTGTCGAAGGTCGAGAGAAAGTGGTGTTGGGTGCAAAGGACGGCGGGGACGGTTGGAGGGTGGACGCGGGTGCGGTGCTGTGCGGTGCGTTGCAGCCAGGTACGTTCTTTAGGTACCTGTTCGTGCGGTGTTGAAGTGGAAGGTAATTAGGTATGGATGGATATTGGCTGCACGTATTGGCTCTGCAATTGGATGGCCCCGGGAGCTTAGCAAGTAAAGGAGGTAGGTATCTCACCTACCTCAAAGTAGGACCCAGGTCCAGATTTTGAATTGAAGCCGACGGGAGTACCCAGATTCTTGGTAAGGTGCTCTGTATATTACCTAGCACGCCTAGGTAAGGTAGGTAGGTAGGAAGGAGAAGAATTGGACGAGAGCCGCCTGAAGTTACCGCAGTCAGAATAACAGACGCGCTGAAGAAAACCCTGTTTCACTGTCTGTGTGCCAATTTGAAGGGCTGGTGACGACAGCTTTTAGCACTGCCCCAACCAAGTTGCTGACCATTGAACTTGCTGAACTGCACGCTTGCGCTGCCACGCCGCCTTGCGCCCTTATGTTCACCCGGCCTTCATCTCAGCACCTTATCCGACAACGCAATCCAGAGGTTTCAAGTTGTTTCTGTCCAGTGACAGGGGATCAGGACGAGGACGGGACAGGACGGGACAGGACGGGAGGCGGCCTCAAACACCTCGGCCAATGGATGTTCCGCTAAGCCACAGCCCGGGCCCTGTTGCCGCATCATGTTGTGGCTTAGCAAGTATCAACATCATCTGCAACTTGCAAGTCATCATGTTCAGACTCAGACTGTGGATCTCGATCCCTTTGCATTATACTGTTTGGCTTTCAGATGGACTTCGTGTCCGAGCAAATGACCTGCCAGGGACGCACCATGCCTTCATCACCGGTTGTGACAAGCATCTCCTCCGTCCCTTTTCTCTCTGATCCCGCGTCGTACCTCTTGCACCAGGTAATATGGTTGATCTCGTATGGACCGTGAGCGTTCGGTACCGTCGCTTCCACCCTCCACCTCCCTGATTGACCCGGTCGCTCGCTGGCTTTCTCAGGTGCTTCTTCGTCGTCGTTTCCCATTCCGACCCTTGTATCATCATACTCCCGGTACACGGCAATGACACCGTCACTGCCAGTGCTGGCCATCAATCCTGTGTCGGCGCTCCAGGTCACCGAGTAGATGTCCCTCGTATGCGCCTTTGGAAGGATGGCGTCGCAAACCCACTCCTCGCGAAGCGACCTTCGCATGGTGTTGGGAATGCCCCCAAGTCCTGGACGGAAACCCGAACCTACACTCGCCCCGTCCTCCTCGTCCTCCTCTTGTAGACTCCATAACCGTATGGTCTGGTCCGCCGAATAGGTCATCAGCCTCGGGAATCCATTGTCCGCACGCGGCTTCTGTTCCCACTGCACACCCCAAACGGTGCCGTCATGGCCCTCCAGTACCGCCACACAAACCCATTCTCCATCGCCATCTTCGCGCCATATCCGGACCGTGTTGTCGTAACTCGCGCTCGCAAGAACATCAGCGCTGTACCTTCTACGCGAGTTTCTCCCGGGCACATCGGGACACCATGCGATGCCCTTCATATCTCCGTTATGTTCGTTGAGCACGGCAACCGTCTCCCACTCATCATCCCCTTCGGAAGCGCCCACATCTTCCCATATCCACACAGTCTGGTCTCTGCTACACGTGGCGAGGTAGGCGCCTGAAGGCGCAAATGAGACGCCCTTGATCTCCGAATCATGACCTTCCAGAACCAGGGTGAACTCCCAGTCCTTGTCCCCATCATCGTCGCTGTTTCCATTGCTGTTGGCTCGCTGCGACGAATTAAGGTCGATCTCGAGGGAATCGCTGGCAGTGTCGTGGCCGGAAAAAGGTAGCTCGTCATCCCATCGCCACAGGCCAGCAGTAGAATCGAAGCTGCCGGTGACTAGGCAGAGCTGTTGAGGTGGGAGATTGGGCTTCCAGGCAACTGAACGAACGGAGCGTGTGTGGCCGCCGGAGAGGCTGCTGTGCGAGGACAGCGAGGATAGCGAGTAGATTGTGACCGATTTAGAGTGGGCGGTCGCAATTAGAGGCAGCGTCGGGTGCGGCACCGAGCACCATGCGCGTTCGTAGAGATCAGGCTTGAAGGGCGGGAGCGGACTGATGCGGATCGCCAAAGATGGCGGCACATCCGTTGACGCGGGCATTGTTATGGGGGTAGTCGCAGCGAAGGCGGTGTCGCACAACTGACTGTGCGTACTGAACAATCGGCTGCTCAAGATTCACGCAAAATCTCTATATCTACCCACCGTAGAGACTGTTGTTTGCTTTGGAATGCCGGTTGCGAGAGTGGACGCGGCAGTGCTGACGGTGCAGACAAGTATGGGTAAGAGCGCAGGACATCTGGTGATGCAATTAGATGCCCCACCATGCCCTGTAGCATGCGCAATGTTTTCACAGTACAGATAGCAGAGGAGTGAATTCTACCCCGCGGTCGGTGCGTCGCTGGGATTTACTACACTACACCCGGTCAGGTTATGACGGGAGTCCCGTTCTTCCTTTAGGTATCGCTGCTACAACGGGCAATCTTTCTTCCAGCGACCTTTAATCTCCGATAAAGCCCTGTGCCGCCTGTGGATCGCCGTCAGTCGGAGTTGCCGGCCCCACATCGACATTTGCCGCCGGACCGTACACGATATTGATTCAGCAATGGAGAAAAAAAGGAGAGAGGCACCAAGACATTCTTCAAATATGCAGTTTCATGAGGGAAGAAGTGGAGTTGAGAAGCAGGACGGGACACTTCGTGCAGGTGCACAAACTGTCGCGGGTGGGGGTTGGTCCTGGTGCGTTTGGAAAGCGAAGCCATAACTTAAAGGAGAAGGGGAAGTTCAACCACCATCTCAATTTACATCGGTGGAGATAATTTGAGATGTTACACGCATATTCCATTACCAACCAGCGACCCCCGAACCAAACTCTCCGCTCATCGTTCAGACGGTGGGTGACTGGGCCGATGCTAATCCGGTGGCCTAGTCGAACCCGGCGGAGAACCATGACCAAGAACTGTGATATGTTGCCATCAGCCAAGTAAATGCAAACTTTTGGCAATCGAAGGAGTGGCGGGCCGTGATTTG